TCAAACACACAAAACTAAATACCTAGTAGGATGCCTCTTATCTTCTTCCGCAAGTAAAATGCTACAAAATCAGTGTAACCGATGGTTTCAAGCGCCTCACGGATACGCTTTCCCGCTGGTGATCTTGTCACTGCTCCGCTAAATATCCTATCGATAATTTGTGGTGGAAGTGCTGGAAATGAGCAGCTTGAATTAAAATTTAATTAATATTAGTATATACTTATGCGTTAGCAATAGTGATAGCAATAGGCACAATTAAATGTAATCATTGTGTCACAACTATAATAATTATTTTAACCTCGTAAATGGTAAAATGAAAACATAAAATCACATGGAAATATATTATCTAGATGTTCTCCATAGCAAAAAACATATTAAAATTTCTCACCTCCGTTACAATGTTGCGACATATCGATTTTGCTGATAATCAAGTCGTGATCTTTGTCTAATTCATAAAATTTGCAATAAATTACATAGAAATGCTCATAGCTGAAGTAATTTGTTATCGCATTGATGTCATCCGTTGTTTCCAACTTCTTAACTGTCTGAAAAGTTGTAAATGAAAGTAAGGCCAAAAATTATAGCTTGTCGAATTTCAGCAAAATTAAATTCGATAAACTAGATAACGTAAATCTAACGAATAGATATAATTTGGGTCGAATTATAAAATAACTATGTAAGTCGCTTCTTGGAGTTTTTTAGGAAGTCAAAAATCAGGAAAATTAATTAGTCCTTGAAAGATTATAAACAAATGATCCAGCTTAATAAATCTTCAGATTCCATTTTGTTGCTTACTTCGAGGAAATTCGAACGGCGTAGCTCATTAATTGTAATTCGTCCAGTCCATGATCGATTGACTGCCCAAAATATCCTTACTATTACCTGGAAGAATGATTATCAAATTTGGAATAAATAAAGGGATACAAGAAGTGGAATAATTAAACGAACAAATCAATTTCAATATTAGCTTGTTTATTTAACTTTAACCCTGGTACGATATGAATGATCTCACTAATATGTTTTATAATAGGAATGATTTTCTCATTGCTGACTGATTTAGAATATTTCAACATAATAAGTCAGATTTAACTAGGAAATTCTTTATCTTTCATGAGGAAATAAATGAATTGAAATAAAAACTAAAAATTTTAGTTGGCCTCAAAAAAAAGCAAACCGTTTCAACATATCTTGAATGAAATTCTTCAGCTTCACGAAGAAAATGTAATCCAGGGAAGGTTTCGATGAGATCTTTAAGGATTGGTGCCAAATCTTCTTTGATCAAGTAATTTCGATGAGGTCCAGCTAGGGTATACACGAAACGCGCTGCTTCATCATGTGCCACTGCAGTCATTCTGGAAAGTACCTACCGTTTCTCATCGTCTAATTTAAAACCTTATCGTATGTGTCCTATCTTATCACCTATGATACGGGAGGTCGTTATCTCAAAAAATGTGAGGCTGGAGGTTAGAATATGCAAATATATATAGTTATTGGTATTAGAGACTAACATTAATATTCGATTGCTTTGAAAAAGCTCTATTCAATATAGGACCGAATTTCAATTAATTTCCAGTCAGTGATAAGAAACTTCACTAATTTGTGTATATTTAATTTCCACGGAAGCTTCTGTAACCACGACAACAAATGAAAAATTCGTTGGTTTTTTCGTTGTTGTTTTTTGGATGTATGGTTTGTTATATGATCAAATAAAACAAAGTACCTGTTCCACCAGGAAGCGAAATCCATCAAGGTGATTGGTCTTGACAAATTGTTACAACAAGAATCATAAACAGCCCGTTTCCAGTAGATAGGTATACCTGCCGCTCTACATACTTCGGCCATATCGGTCATTCTCACCTGAATTAAATTTGAAAGCCAAAAACAGAAGTTTAATAAAGTCTAAAGTACGTTTTGACATTTTGCCCAGATTTGACATCTGATACCTTATTTCCAATGGCATTGAATATATCGCTAACTCGTCTTAGTGCTGCGTCATTCTCGGATATTGAAATGGGAACTCCTTTTGGGAAGAAGAACCTTAAAGAAAAAGGTCAACAGTGAACATCTTTTTTGTGACCTTATTTTCGTCTTTTATTGAAAACAGTCACATGATGAAATATTACGACGGATCGCTATCCCATCCTTCATTCCCAAAATGGAAAACGACTGGAATAATACTGATCAAGATGCTTCTTGATTTTGTTATTCTTTAGACCGATCGAAACGAGCTAGACAAGTGTCCTCATCTCATATCACTAAACATTACACTTACCTTGGAACATCCACTACTTGTACTTTTGGTAAAGGAGGAGTTGTGGGCCATTTCGATTCCACCTTAATTCCATTCTGCTGCAACGAAATTTGATAGCACTTAGACCTTTTTTAACGCAAATTTGAAAAAACAAAAAGAAATCTTTTACTATCACGTATAACGTGAGTTTACAATATTTGGAGTTCTGAAAACATACCAGGATAGATTCTGAAGTAGTAATATAATATCTGATAAAAAAAGTGAGACACGCTAACACAACAGACTTAATCACATTTCGAATATATACTGGAATTAAAAATGAAATGAAAGTAAGTACCACACCAAAGCCTTTCCATTACTGGCATTACTGCATGGCTTACTGATACCGGTTTTCGTAATTGCACTTTTTTTCTCCATACGTCGTTCCGCAATACTACGATATGATATTAAATCTTCATTTTGATCGCTAAAATAGTATACAAAATCATCACTGTCCAGTTTTCAAAAATTTCTGTGAATTATCTGGCCGGTTACAATCTTCCTTTTCTCACATCTTAATTCATTGTTTTTTTATCTGCTTGTAGTAAGATCGCACTATATATCCCTAAAAATATTATCTATAATGCTAGCAGTTTTAACTAAACTTAGAATTACAAAAAAAAGGGAAAGTATTTTCACCTTATTTTACTTTTAAATTTGGAAGACTTTATCGGTGGTTGGAGTACAAAGTTCGTAGTTTCTTGTAACTCTCTGCAAAACAGTGTGGGTCATTAGGTTACTATTAAATAAATACTCTGATATCGAATAATGCTCTTATGAGAAAAGTAAAAAATACATGATCTTCAGCTGATTGTCTGCTTCTATTTCTGCAGTTGCTGTCGTTGGAGTGTCTTCATTATTCTGATATGGGATTTCTTCCTGAAATTGATGACTTAACTTTCATGTGTTTTCAGAAAATTCTGAAAATTTTTTCAAAAATCATAAAATTTCTGCAAATGGAAGAGAATTTCTCTGAGATTAAATAAAAATTTCCTAAAATAATCCCATCCATAACAATTCTGGTAGTTTATTGAGTTCAATTTACAATGAATCAGAAATGCCCGTCGAAGAGACATTCTGAAGATTTATTTCGTAAGATATGCCAGAAATTATATACATCACAAATGAAACTTTTGAAGTGACCATTACCGGTAGAGTGCAATACTGTTTTCCGCCTGCATAGAGTCCAATTAATGGTCGGTCAATTCAAAAGTTTTGTTCATGGGAAAAAAGCGTTTTTAGGATAGCGATATTGGAATTATAAAAAAGCATTCCATTTCAGGAAAATGCTTCAATAGAAAACGCTCGAAACAAAAATTTCAAATGGAAGTTTTCCCATGGAATTTTTGAACTCCTGATGATAGTCTCGTAAGTTAAAGAGTTTATGGAACAGAATATGAAAGTATCTGTGACATACATTTGTGGCCAATTCTTACAATTATCAGCATTTTGTTTTCTCTAAAAGGCAGCCATATAGAGATGATATTAAAAAAATGTTAAACAATCGATTGATGTGCTATTATGATCCCATTAGAATGATATTCATAGACTCCGATAATGACAATGATTAGGACTTAGATTATGAATTATTGGCCATAGCCATAAGCATGTTACTTTCAATCAGATCATTTTGACAGCCATCATAGGCGCTTCCTAAATTTCAAAATTTGTAGAAGTTATCATCTCTTTCGTTATACGTCATTTCCTTTTTATGATAAATATGCAGTAGAAAACATCTGTTCCAATATCTTGGCCTTTTGAATGGGCTGGATCGATGGCATTGTTTTCTTAAAGCGATCATTTTATCTCGAAATAATGACAGTAATTGTAACAGCAGTGTTAGCCTAGAAACTGGAAACTGTGACAAGCATCGAGTCAGTGACCAATTGATGAACAACAATTGCTAAATTTATGACTTCATTTAGTATCTAATCTTACAAGAATCTGTGAAAATATCACGGGAAAAAAGCAGAACGAAATATCTTCTAAAGATTGTAGCTATGAGAAGTTGATTCATATTTTTTTTTTTGGGGGAGGGAGGGGGGAGAGGGGAATTGACACTTTTTCATTTTTTGCAAGCTATAAGTAGTGCCAAATTTTCCTGGCCTCCCTTATTTGGTCATTCATGAGCTTCTAAGCTTCTAAATGAATAAAGAAAGATCATTAAAACATATAAGCTATAGGTTAGTTGATACAACAAGAAAAGGCATACTGGGAAAGACAGGAAATCTTTGAATACTTTTTCTCGAACAAAGAAAATTTAGAATCTAATTGTTTTAGACATGGTTGTTAATTTGGTAGCAAAAATACGAAATTGCAGTTTTTGCTGAAATATCAGTTTGGTTTTCGAGGAAAGTACAGATATAATTGAAATGAAAAAAGATAGATAAAAATCTCTGATATCAAAGGGATATCAAAAATTCGAACAGCTCAGAGATATGAAAACTATGAAAAGGAAAACAAACAAAATATGAAATGCACTAAAATGTGATGAAAAATGGCGAGAAAAAGAATGACAAATAAACATTCAGGGAATGGAAGTATTTCCTATATCCTGATTTTATCTGACATATGTACTTGTTCAGTAAGACAATCTGCTTGTCAACATTTACGCCATCTACGCCTTTCTTATCATGTTCACTATCCTCTACCTCTGTATCAAATTGCTGATGAAAACAATTCTGCTTGAAAGTTATCTTTCACATATATTCGTCATACGATCAAAACTTATACCTTTGCTTCTACAAGTTGTTTGGACTGCGGGAATTGAAAGACCGATTCGATATCGGCGGATGGCTGAAATACACGTAACGATGTACCGCTTATATCAGCATGGATTATTGGCTTCGTACGATATACTGATGATCGTGGTGACATGGGTCCCAGTGGTGACCTGATAGGAGAAACCTGAAGACATATCTAAACTATTGTAGACAAATTTAGTTGAGTTGAGTTAAGTTTACAAATTCAGTTCATATTTAGTCGAGTTTGCAAGATTTAAAAAATCAACAAAATATGTTGTATTGTGTAGAACCTTTTTAAGCCACATATTCCAAAAATTCCAAAATGTATTAGCATAATGTACTGTCGAACTTAATTTCAGAGTAATTGTTAATCAAAATTTGTATAATTAAGGAAGAAAAAAGTCTTTTCATGTAAGTATTGGGAGACCGTTGTGATATGATAAGAATCTGTCGTGAGTGATAATAACTCATTAAGGTATGCATCAAGCTGAAAATTTACTAGAAATTTATAAATACTGCATCGTTAATTAAGCCTTAATTGGGTTTCACCTTTTGTACTTTAATATATTGTTTGTATCACCATTCCTTACATCTCGGACTACTAGCAAGGGAATATGGTAAAAAGCATTTTGGAGATTTTGGTGGAATAAACAAATAAACCTCATTTCTTTGTCGTTCTGTACCAGTTAGTGCACAAGCAATTCGTAGTAAATTCGGGGCACCAGGCCTTCTCTCAAATTCGGATATACGCGATGCAACGCTACCATTGGAAGGTACTGGGAAGTTTGGTGCACTCCCAAAACGCACGCCACTACGATTCACATAGATTGCTGCTATATTATTCAAATATTGGTAAGATTTTTAAAAAAAAAAGAAAAAACAGGAACAAAAAAGATTTTTTTTTTAAATTTTTCTAAAAACATTCAAAAAAAAATTTCCGAAACATTGAGAAATTGGAAAGTCTTCCAACTGAATTTAAATAATATTTAGAATGATAATGTACGGCATACAATGAACGACATGAAGATTTCGCGCAGTTTTACCCCAAAGTGACGATATGTCTGAATACTTCATAAAATTTGAGACTCAAATATTTTACCAAATATGAAACAAAAATAAAAATTACTTCCACGTGGTTCAAATCCAGCCTGTATTAGCTGTTCACGTATATTGTGTTTTGGTTTCGGATGTGGTAATCCACTTGGAGCATTATAGCTAGAGCTTGTATCACTTGTTGCCTCAGGACTTGGGCTATGCGCCAATAACGCCCCATTAATAAATGATGTTAAGGCTGCAAAAGAAACGAAATTTATTTTGTTCACTTTTCTATCAAAAACTGACGGAATAATTTTTTAAATCAAATCAGTGGAATCAAATATCTTTAATTGGATAAGAAACATCATAATTCTTTGTTGGAAAGTATCTCTAACTAATTTGGTCTAAGCTATCTTTCTTCACATAGAAGTAGCAATAACTGCATGATGTCGAAACAGTGCAAAATGTATCTTTGAAGGTTTCAAATTAGGAAAGAAGACAGAGGGCAGTTTCGCTGTCGCAATAATGTCCTCATCCGTACTGTCAGTTATCTGACCATTAAATGAACTAAGAAGTATGGTTTAGTAATTTCAGAAGAGCTTTGCATAATTATACATGCGCTTGCATCACCCCGTAAGAAGTATTATGCTGTACAAGTAATCATGGAAACTAACTGATTGTAGGTATTGGTATATTCACGGATGAGTCGAAATTCACAATGTAAAGAAAACAAATAGTTCAGATAACTTCGATATCTTACCTTCTCTTTTGCCAACTGGACTGGACGAGGGCAAATCATAGAGTGGAAATTTAGCACATCCACCGTTACGGGTAAGCGCATAATTGCTATTAAGTTCTGCAACTGCACTATCCAAAGATGCAAAATTTGGCTCAGTGATACCTCCATTGATGCTATTTTCTTTGGTTTCTATCTGTAAATTATGCTTTTCATATAAAGAATCAGTGAATCTTTCCAATATAGAATCAAAAGGTTAACTGATCCTTAATAGAAATGCAGCGAGATTCCGGATGAGCTACACTGACCGGAGGTATAACGGTCGATCTTTTGATTGTAACATGATCCATTTGTGGTGATGAGCTCTTAACTGCTTCTAAAAAATTTGCTTTCCGTCTTGCCAAATTATCGCCAGAAAATCGTCGGCCTAATCGACTGGTGCCAGTTTCACTGACCGATTCATCCAATAATTCCATACGTTGCGCAGCGGTTAGCGGTGATGAAATGCGTGGTGTAACTGAAACCATTGAGGGACTGTTAGAATTCCGAAGATCAATCGATTGCTGGATCACGACAACAGAAACACAAAACTATTGTTAACAAACGGTACCTGAACGACCTTTAATAGTTGCTTCCCAAAAATTGCCCAATTCCCGACGAGATGCCGGACGTTGTAGTTCTGGCGCTTCGGCAGCATGACGTCGTTCAACTGCATTAGCAAGAAGTGATGGTCGTCTGAAAGGAATATAAAGCTGGGGATAGCCTGTTTTTTACTATTTTAACAAATGACTGATAATTAATTTAAAGATCAACCTCCCACTGGAATCCAAATGTTCATTAATTGTGAGATTTCCTTGACTTGCTGATTTTGCGAGCGCCCTTTTCGGCAAAGTCATCGAGCCATTCGTTGCAAAATCATAATTGTTCAATATTTCCTCCTCTGATAATAACCCAGTGTTACCAAAGCGATTTCGCATCGTTGAAAATGATGATCTGAAGTTCAACAATTCATAAGGTTTAGAAGATTAAAGTGTTCTCTATTGAATATTTCGAAGAACTAAATTCTCTCGCTTTGCTTAGAGTTTAAAATTAAATTTAAATTTGTACTGCGTTACATACCTTCATTTTCTCAATCTTTTGCTTTACCTTACATATTGATAGATTTTTGAATAACTAAACTTTGAAACGAAATCAAAATTTGTAAAATTGTCATTTAGTACAAACCGCCATTCTTTCGTTGATTTCGACATGTTTCCTTTGTCTTGTAATAGTGATTCGTCTAGTAATGCGTCCAAACTGGAGTAATCAACGATTGGTACTTGAGTAGATTTTGACGTACTTTGGATATTACTGCTTGCTGTTTGCTCTCCTACAAACACTAACCCATTAAATATTATCAAAGATGAGCAAAAGGCTGCAGGTAAACTCTAATTTGGTACCAAGCAACTTGCATCATTATTGATCTCTATTTCTTCTCATAGAATTGGCTTTCAACGTAATCAATCTTGTCATCATGCAGAATTTCATCATTTCAGAACATGGTGATACATGAGATGATATGATTAAAGCATTTTATCATACATACCGATGTAGGTATGATACGGATATGAAATGTACTTTGTAGTAGTAGTAATAGTAGTAACATTAATTATATTACATTAAAAAGGATTACAAAAATAACATCTTACCGCTACTGAATGAACGATCGTATTTAGAAGAGATTAATGAGATTGAACCATTCGTTGGAGAAGTATTTGTTTGATATTTGGCTTGATAATTGTTCGGGTCTGAGTTGTTCCGTGATAAATAATGCCAATTAATATCTTGATCGATGAATGGAACATCAATTAACGCATCATCAATAGATGCTCCCTTTGGTATTGATAGTTCAACAACTGGATACGTTACGTGAGTATGTTGACTCCCAGTTGGATGATAAGTTAAACGTTTAATTAGTCTATTTTCAGCGTGATATATCTAAAAACACGTCGATAGAATAATAAAAAAGCAAAAGTAATAAAAAATCATCAAATTAAGTTTTAAAAGTAAAGATCACATCTAGCAGCTTTATTTGGTTAATTGTTTTATATCCAAGCAATCTTCATGAGCCTATAATCATATGACAATGTTTTTCTATAACAGTGATAAGTTTGAATTACTAGTAGAGAGTAATCGTAAAAGAGATGAAGATTCACGTGAGACACTGTTCTGATTCCCAAAATGAACTCCTTGTTGACAGATATTAAATGGGAAAAATGAACAAATATTAAATGAATCATTCTTTTATTAGATAGGTAATAGATGAAAATGTTCCAGCTTGTGCATTACTTTATCAATGATAATAATGCACAATTAGATTTTCTCAGGTGAAATGGCTGATTTCGAAAAGTTAATTTCTTGTTCTGTTTGTTTAATTAAATTTACTCTCTGGTTCTCATGTCATTCTATTCTATTTTATGTGTCTTTTTAACAATGCCAAAGTTCTAACAGGTAGTTACGTTGAATTTTTACGATTTCTGTTGTTGAAGCATGGAAATAGTGAAGTTTAGAATATTAATTTGACATATTTAATATGTCGTTTAAAAGAGAGAAAAAAAGAACGAACTTGAGGCTTTTTACATGGAAGACTATCTGTTCTCTGAATATCAGAAGGAAATTGATCGGTTGATTTTGTCAGATTGAAAAATTTGAGCGGGTTTTGTGTTAAGTGATTTCTTGTTCGATCTGCTGGAAAAGAAGACTCATTTCTTTTATACTTTCAAGATTCTCAAAGATTGTGAAATTCGCTCGTCATTCAGTGATGGAATTTGGAACAACTGGTAAGGTGACGAATTTTCACCCGAAACAAAAAAAAAGCATAACAGTGAAAAAATTCGAACCCGGCACTATAAGAAAATGATCGAGTCATGATCAGCGAGTTTGCATTTGAAAATGTTCATTTAGAATACACCCGTAAAACAGGCACACACACACACAACTCCCTTAACAAAAAAGAAAAAAACAATTATATCTCGATTGTCGCTTTTTCTAGGTCAAGGTTTTTACCTTTTACCAGTTATTTTAATTTTTAACCTTAACTAAATACAAATTTTTAAGTCCTGCTTACTGACTTGCTGCGAGTGTTTTCTAGTTATGAACTTATTGGATGACAGACGTAGTCACTGTGTAAGTGAAGAAAAAGGATGCCAAATTTTGAAAAAAGAAAAAAAAAGTGGTCAGAAAGAACACCTAGCTTCATTATTTAGTTGAATAGATCAAGCTCGAAAAGTCATGCTGCTAGTATAGATGTAATTATCTAAGCCTAGTTCGGCTATATCAAATTAACGAATTTAAATGACTAGGTTGCCTGAAACTGATTTTAAATTCATAATTAAACTTAAAAAACTTCGCTATAATAAGCAGCTCATTATGTTGATGTTTGCAAAATATCACCGTTTACTTTTTCTATAGAAAGAAAAAGTTAGAAATTACCAATGTCCTGTGAATGTAAATTGACAGAAGGATTTGAATGGGAGGTGATTAATAAATTAACTTCTTCAGCAAGCTTTGAATTCCTTATTTGGTCGTTGAAATGATTGTCGGGAATAGTGATGCTCAGGTGACGGTAATCTGCTGTGTCGGGTTCACGGAGACTGAAATCGTCGTGATGCTCCTCTACTGAATAGAATTGTTGATTATGATTTAACAGTTTTTCTGAAAAGCACTAAACAAAAACATAATTATTCGATTTTCATTGTGCAATGACGAATTGAGCTAAGATAAAAGTGCAAAAGTTTTTACAAAATTTGAAATTTCATTGGGTGGATAAACCCGTTCCGGCAATTTATTTGATCGTGATAATGTACGCGTTTTCACAAAAAAACGGATCATATTGAGGATGAGAGGATATTTGCCTAACAAAAACTGAGCCTGAATTTTAAATCAATTCCGGGAATAAGAACACAAACAAAATTTCATATTTAATCACATATCAAATAATGTCAGTCTTTCGCAATCAAAATATGAAATCCTAGAAAGTATGTCTACTTACCTGTTTGATAATCAAGAAAATTGCTTTTCTCGAAAGGAGAAAAATTAGTGTCGTTGTATGAATGCGCAATTTCAACACGTGGTTGTACAACGGGTATGGAACGTGAGATATTGTCAAAAGCAAATGCTCGTTGTGAATTGTTTATTGAAAGATTGTCGTGCAGGTTTAGTTCAAATTTTTCTGAAAATACCGATCCTATGCAAAGAAAGGGAATATTTCACTTCTGTTAATTCATTTGCATTGATTTGCAAGTAATATATTTTGTTGTAACCTAAAAATTAGTTTTGGATACAGGTGTAAGCGGTTGTTGACAAGTTGAATAACGATTGTTTGCTGCGCATAGAGAATTACTCTGACGACCATCAACGTAAGAATCTTTCGCTGTAATTGAGAATCGCTGCTGATTCATCAAATTAAGCCACAGTGATAGTATTGCAATTTACGGAGATAATAGCTCCTGGAACATCGTATATAATTGATGATATTATGCTGAAATATTACGAAGCATCATTAGGAAGTTATTAAATAAAATATTCCCACACAAATTGATATGTTTGATTTAGTTTCTCTCAAAAATCTAATTCTAAAAATACCTTTTTTCATAAAAATCAACCTTCAAGCAGAATAATCCAAGTTGACAAGTAGAGTCGTTGTGTAAGCATAATCATCTTCAGCTATAAATACTTCCGATAAAGTATGCAAAAGCACCTCACTACTCCATTTGCATACGACGATCTGAAAGGACTAGAACCGGAATTGAATAATGCTTCAAGAATGCTTAATGACCATACAGTTACGTGTTAAAAACATATCAGAAATATAATGAAAATCATAATAAACACATGAAATGCAACGAGGAAGCACATATGTAAACGCAAAATACGCAAATGATGTAATATTTTTCACGAAAATTTATTTTTTGTAGAAATAGCGCCAATTAACAAGAACTAAAATAGGCCACAGTGGGTTGTTTAATTCAAACAGTGTCATATTTTGGCAAGAAATAATTATTTCTACTCATTTATCTATCATGAATATGCAAAAGAGTAATTAGATGGGTAATAGAATTCGGACTTCACTGTTATAGGTATTTAGTTTGTACGTACAATGTTACCTAAATATAATATCCTGAAATGATTCCGAGTAATTTCATTCATTATAACTTAGAGCAGTGAAATAGGATAGAAGAATTCGTTCCTTTTTATCAAGGTTATCCGGATTAGTGTATATCTTTTTCAGGTAAGTTGATCCCTCTAAAGTACGTTAGTGATATCTGTTCCTTAATCGATAGGTTTGACTGATCGGTTTTTTTTTGGCCAATGCATAGCGCTACTTTCCGTCCCTTCTATATTCTTTTTTTGCGAGAAAGAGAAGCAAAATACTAAGTTGAAGAAGAAAAGATTGGAATTAAATGTGGAAATGTAGAAGATGATGAACTGCAAGAAATAGAGTAGAAGAAAGGTATGTATGATGACCTTTGGAGTACAAGTGAATGACCCAATGTTAGGCTTCACAGTGCGGTGAGTTTAACTCAATTACTGTAATCATGGATACAAATGTAAGCTTAATGCAAATGGATGTAGCTTATCACCATGGTGATATGGGACAAGACTAAATCATCCGATACTCTCGACAGTAGCTATGTTTGTTATATTCATGAAATATGTAATGCTCGCTAAGAGATTTGAACCAGTCGTCAATCTTTCTGGACCATTCAATTTGCCTTTTGAACAAAAAAAAAAAAAACAAAGAATGAATTAGTGAAAGTAATAAAAAGCTTTCACAACTATTCTCAAAATACCTCTGCTTTTTTTAGGAAGTCACGGGAATTTTGAACTTCAACAAATCAGGAGAAGTATTTGTAGGAGTTTAAGAAGTGATAAAGGAGAAACTGTCGAATATTGCAAAGTAAATCGTAGAAGAGTTTACACTTTCTTGGATCGATATTTCACAAAGAGAAATATTTGCAAAACCAATGAAATAACTTATTAACCTTTTGATTTTATCAAAAAACTAACGAATTTTAAGGTGAAGGATACGATCAGTTAATCAATCAGACAATATAATCGTTAGATTGGAATTGAAGGAGGATATATTGGTTATTATTTACAACAAGATTTCTTCTTTGTTTATTTCAGTATTTCGCCAAATTTTGTTAATTAAGCATTAATAAAATGTACGCTAATTTCAAACTAATATTGATAAAACTAAAATCATCAAATATTGAAGGTAATTATTACAAAGTGTGCTGAAATAAAAAGAAAACAATAACAGAAGCTAAGCTATTATTTGGATCTTGAAATCGCAAGAGTAAGTGATGATGATGGATAACGGCATTGACACTAGCAGATAAAACGAAAAGGAACAACTAGTTGGAGGGAAAAAGCAGATGAGATAGTACTAATGGGCGCTGATGGCGTCTTCGATATGAAAAGATACTGTAAATATAAAATAGTACAAATTATGACATACCTGGAAACTTGCCTGCAGTATGCCACGACAATATTCTTTCAGTCTATCTTTATATGGAAAATCAATTAATGTTTTAATCAGACTGATATACATCATCAACCAGTTCATGAACGATTATGTTAGTCACTTAGACGTGAATAAAAATGAGATAGACATTGATAAGACCATTATCTCTTCAAGCAACCCAATCAATGTCATCATCATGAAGGCCAAGGAGACAACGATAATTCGATTGTTTTCTTAACTATTTACTGTATTCCGCTATCCGGAATGGCATTGATATTGATAAGATTTCGCCAACCTTAGTCGATCCATTTTCTCCAGATTGTTCAACTGCAAAGCAACAACATCCCATCTGGTGGAAAGTTTCCCTTTTTCATTCTACTCTTTTCTATAATTATATTCGAAAGCTTCTTCATAAAAATTCCACAAAAAATATTCATTTTATATTCTTAGTTTATTTCTTCAACAATGAAGCAATTGGGAAAGTGACATGATTGTTGGGAAACATTATCGTCATGAATACTTAATCTCTAATGAGATTATTGAATTAGTTAATGTAAGCAATAAACTATGAAGAAAAAGTAAAAATTGAAGTTAAAAATACATGAGCATTGATCAACAAAGTTTCTACTCGTTGTAAATTTAATATTTTTAATAGTGAACTGATATGAATAACACAAAATGTAATGTCAATAGTTTTAGTTTCCACTAAGAAAGGTACTGCTAAAGAGGGATAGCTTCTTTTGTGAAAAAGGTGCGGTAAAGGAAGATGCATTGATGATTGAATTCAGATCTGTGTTGTTGAAACCTTTCATCACCTCTGGACGCTGCTCTTCGTCTATTGGCATAGCTTTGTAAATACGCTAGAGATTGTGAAATTGTATACAAGAAAGTGGAGAGGAGCAGGAAGAGGATGAAGAAGAGGAGGTCCTGACCATTCCATCTATTTAACAATATCAACAGTTGTTTCTCGTTATTATCTAGTTCTTTCTCGAACATCAGGTTTGAAGGGAAGGAGTGGCAGCTACAGCAACTTTAAGAAGGGATAAATTAGAGAAGAGAGAAGAGAAACACGAGGTTGATACCATCCTCAGGTTCTGAGTTAATGACATCAAGAAGTATGGGGAAGTGAAGTGTTGATAGTAGTAGTAGTAGCAGCAGCAGCAGCAGCAGCGGCAGCAGCAGCAGCAGCAGCAGCAGCAGCAGCAGCAGTATGAAGCTTCTTTTTTTTGAAAATAGAACTTGAGCTGAACAGAGAAAGTCAGGAGGACCTAATAATTGAAGATTAATGATATGGGAGGTCTAAGCTTCTGCAGATCATTGGTCTATGTATTAGCACCACACATTACTGCATTCACAGGAGGATTATTGTGTACATATGTGTGTTCCGATGCTGATCGAATAATTGTAGAATTTATGTCAATTATGGTAACTAGTATTTTTTAATCAATTAGACTTAATTAAGCTCTCTTAATTAATTGCATTCCATATTTTGTTGGTCATTACAATGAAACTGTACACCTTTTTCAAAAATGATTTTTTTTTGACAGCAGCTTGTAACAATAAATGAAGAACAGAAAGGTAGTGTAAGGTTACTTGTCAATTCCTTACAAAATTACCTGTTGTAATAATCTTCAAAGAGTGATTGGGAAATATAATCAGGCAAGTATATATAAAAGGCAAGAAATGAATGAACTCTTTGGTTATATAGCTAGAATGAATATTGGCAGGAAAAGTCAAACGAAATGCCATGTCTGCTAGGTCAACAAAACACAAATTTTTCTTTAAGGTCTTACTTTAGTAGGCAGCATCCGACTAGCGGGTAAGATCAGGGTAGCGGATAGCACAAGAGTAGTGGGCAGCATCTAGATAGCGGACAACCATTAGTGTAGCGGGTAGTATTTCTCATGTAAGGATTTGCATATGGGAAACTTCTTAAATATGAGTTTCATTGCTAGACAAAATGTATGGATAAGAGTGATAAGAGAGAAACGGTTGGTTCATTCTGAACCACTTTTTGGGACGCATGTATGAGGTAATCATCCTTTTTGTAACTTAAGTAATTGGAAAAACATTTAACTCCGTTCAGGTAAAAATGTCTTACATCAATAAGTTGATTTGATAATGTGTATTGTGGAGATTGAAAAAAATTCTAACTTTCCGTCCTCAAAACAATTTCGATTACCACTGATATTTGTAATCCTGGATTGTACTGGCAATCAAGAACCAAAGTAGCCCATAATCAAGACGGTGTTTGTATGGTGCGGATTTGGAATTTCGTTAGTCACTGTTTATTAAATAGAACTCCAGTGATGAGGTTTCGCTATCATCGGAATCAATTCATTTGGATGATATCGATGGTACAGTAATGCAAGTGTTGATATGCATGCAAGTACGAAATACTTTTTACGATGAACACTAAAGGCCAGGATAAATTGTTTTACTATCACTTCTTAGCAATGATAAGAGCTTTTGTCCCTTCGTTCCTCAAAAGCGAATGTTTCATTATCTTGAAGTTCTTCCTTTCCTTCCTCAACAATCATTGTACACTTGTAAATATGAATGTCGTTGTCCATTTTAAACAGTTTCAAGGTCAATTCATTTTGTTTTAGACATATGTCGTGCTATTTCCACTTATTTATTGCTGGTTCTTTGGATGTCCATGCAGTGGTCACAACACGACAGAACTGGAATTTGAGTGGAAGAGCAAGGACGCAGAAGTCATCCAAAAGAAAAATGCCATCGTCTGCTATTGCTAGAATAAGAAAATTTGTTTAATGATATAATTCTGTTATATTTATCATCATTACGTAGTCATAACAATTTCCGTTGAAAGTAACCATTAGTTGAAGTATGAATGATTGCACAACTGACATCGTAAACTTCTCTGAAGAGTGATACGGGGCGCAATCATGCTAGTATCGGTCGTCCTTTTCTTCCCATATCATTAGTCTTATATTTCGTCATCTTAGCAGCATTCAAGCAGGCTTGATGGTTTGCTAACATTCATTATTCAACTTCACTATCTATGTCCTCCAGCCTAAGCTGAGAATTTTCAACCTATCTCAGCAAACAGCCAATCATATTAAAGTAAGTGTTGCAGAAAGCAACAGAAATACTGCACCAACAAAAGTTACGAGCCCATCAAAAACGGATATGGCAAGAAAAGCAAGCAAGGCCAAACCATACCGATGAAGATGTTCCAATAACAAAGATTCCTGACGTAATCGTTCAACCCAAAGACTCTACATTTATTCCAGCCACCCAAACTGCTACACATCACTTGTCTCCTACGGACCTAAACCAAGGGTTGAAGTCCCATTCTTCCCGGGAACAAAACTTAGTTTTGCAAAAAGATCACAAAGGCACAGTTTAATCGGGAAATACAGTAAGATAACAGACTTATTGGGCATGCATTACGAAATAACAATGTATTGGAGTATCCGTATGATTGGGAGAAGTATCTCGAACCATCGAGAAACACCGAAGGGACGGAAAGCAAAGTTTTGTAAAGGCATAACGGTAAATACTGTACCAACTTTCTTTAGGCATTTCCAGTAGGAAATGCGAATAAAATATATCTCACCCTCCTCAATGTTTTCACAGAAAATAAAATCCAAAGATACTGCAAGTGCCTATTAACGTACCAGAGTGTGGTAGGAATGTTATCAATAAGCGCTGTAGAAAAAGTTCTATTCCAGAATTTTTGAAAAGGCAGGAAATGACGGAAAATAGTACAGAATAATGAGATGAGGAGAATAATGAGAGATACTTTGAAATTTTTGGTCATAGTGAAGAGAAGGGATAAGACATGACTGGGGTTTTGACTTACTTAGACAGAAGTAATCCTCAATAGAATATTCTCGCCGAAATCAACACAAGACTGTAAATCAAATACCCACATGAGGCAAAAATGTTTGCACAACAGCCTGCTCAAAGTTACTCAAATTTCTTTTCACAATGGTGAATCTTCGAATGGTTGGTGAGGTCGATAATATGCAACTTCGGTTTGTGGGTTCAGTTTGTGGATTGGGTTTGTGGATTCGGGTTTTAGCAGGACAATGTGTGCTATACAGCTGGGGACGGGAAGGAATGTTTCTCAGCGAACTTAAGTGAGATTTAGATGCATTCCTTTACTAGCATTCATTCAGTTATAAAGTTTACATCATAACAATCCGAATGGAATGGCCAAAGTACTTTGCTTGCACATAACTGATATTTTGGCAGTTTACTTTGTTACTGTTATCATTGGCTTTTGTTTTGTGTTTCTTTTTTTTCCCCTTTTAAATGGTTAAAACATTTGCGGTAATATGTCAGGTGGCTCACAGTCGGACTTTTAGAATGAATATGGATGAAGAGTAATGTACTGAGCCTTCATGTGCAGCCAAAGGATATAGAGAGTACATTGTATATATCGGAAAATAAACAAGGGAACCTGCGCACTTATATGCCTATGAGCAAAGTCTGAAGCCATTGCAAGATCACAGTGGTAGAAACTTTTTTTATTTCGTCAGTTTGGAAAGATTAATGTCGCTCCTTTCCATACTTGTTAGGAGGTTTGGGCGGATAATAATGTGTGGGGGATTAAAAACCTTAAATTTAAAAACCCAAGAGAGATATTTAAAATGACCGTCAAGTGAGGCTAGTCGAGACTTCCATGGTTTAATTTTCCGTCATATAAGATGAAATTTCCAGTTGCATTTTTTTATTCAGGACAATTATAGCAAAAACTGAAGATGACGTTGTGGAATCAATCGCTGTCGACTCAGATTTAGACTATTCGAATACGCTGATATCTCGGGAAAGGAAGACCTTATGGACGCTTAATCTGAAAGTCCTATCCTTTAGCCTGCCGTCGAAAGAGAGTGCAATGAACTTGGCGGACAGTGTGGAAATCTAAAATAAATGAACATGATGACTTATGAGATTACAAATTTAAATGTCAGTCATTTAAATGCCACTGTGATTTTTGCAGTTGTGAAAGTCACAAAGAAATACTGGAGATACCTGAGATCATAGCCTGTCAATCTTTAAAATTCATAGTTGAATGCGATTGTAAAGCATGATTTTAAACGACGCAGTGAGGAGCAAGATGTAAATAAACATTGTTAGACGAAGCACCACATTAAACGAAGTACAAACTTAGAAAGTAGTGAAAACCATAGTTAAAGAACCTTTATTCGAGGGGGGGGGGGGGGGGGCAAGTCATTTATTGCTCCTCTTTTAAAACAAAATTCAAAGTTAATTTCTTTAACAACAAGAGTTCGTTTAGAATTCCATTGAAGACTGTTGAAGTTGAAATCAATATAAATATCCTAGTCGTAAGCTACAAAAGACAGTGATGACGCATAGTGGCACTCCTACTGTCTTTTAATGAAAGTAGATACAGGTATATCCGTGACCAATCAACACAGGCGACATTAACATCACAATTTAGCCAGGTAAAAGTCAACATGAAGTAACTATGAATGGGAATAGAATAAATGAGATCCATGTTTTCTAGACAAGCAGCAGATGCTGGTAGAACTGTAATTTTCAACTCCATCATTCCATCCCGATAACTGAATTCTTAGGATATAAGGATAATCTCTTCCTCTCCCTATAATTCTGAAGTTTGGAATCAATAACCGTATAAAGGTTAATCAGCATGAAATAAAAATGACACATAAAATATATCACAGAATGGGCAGAACCTGAAATATAGATATTGATTTTAAAAGTGATAGTCATTAAAAATGAACACCGAGTTTCTGAACTGAAATATAAATTAATAGTATGCTGAACTAATCCGTATGACGAAAGAATGAAAGAACGAATTATAAATTTGCGGAAAGTGTATGTACTAGCAAATGACAAAAAAAAAACGAGAGACCAAGAGGACCGCTTAAAGGTGCAAAAAAGATAAACTAAGGAAGTCATCTTTGAAGAGAAAATGTAGGTGTTTGTGGTAAAAGAATACTGTTACGTACTTTGAAATGCTATTTTATCCAGGATTCGATGAATAGGAGTGTGATATTAGGGGCTTGAAGAGCCATGCTTAGTATAGTTTTAGATGAAAGTGACTGTTAAGTCATGGAAATCCTGATCTGACGTCATTAGCGTCTCTTTAAACTGCCATTTTCATGGTCGTAGGTATCCACAGACGCAAAATACATCTGTTCCCCAAATGTTACCTAATTCGACCAAAAACAACATTTTGTTAGGCAGATTTCTTCCAGTCAACGTCTAAGATTGAATACAGCTTATTTAAATAAAACAGTGTATTTGAAAACCACAACTTCCTAAACTAACTTATTCGAAAAAAAAGAAACTCAAAATGTCGCTGCAGCAACTTCATAAAAAGATAGACAGAGGAATACGCTCAAAATTAGAAATATAAAAAAGATCCGAAAAAACATTTCTTGCACCATTTGCAGTACGTAATATGTACCACAACAGCCATTTATACAAAAACAAAGGTAAGTAACAATGTATTCCTACACATAAGTAAATAGTTTCGAATATTAACAGATTTAATGCTTAACATTCTACCGATACCCAAAGTAACATCGCGTATCCCAATCCGTTTAGTTGACGATCATTTCACCCCAATGTTTCAGTCTTTTTGATAATTTTTTTTTCGCGAACCATGCAATAAGATCTGGATCCTTGGGGTCGCATTTCCCTTTATACCTGAATTTATTGATTGGAGAAGAAAAAGATAAAAAAATTCTAAAGAGGAAAATGATCGGTAGTTGACTGGTTATAGCTACACTTCTTTAATAGAAATGTCCTTTAAAAGAAGTTTTAATAGAAGTTTTTTTAATAGAAGTTAGTTTAATAGTTCTTTTTCTTTAATAGAAATTTAACAGTAGCTTTTATGTTCATGTTAGATGATGAGGTACAGCAGGAAAATCTTGCATCTCAAGATGAAAATGCAACATAACTGGAATTTGAGCGATATTTCAGCAGGAATAATAGTTGAGATAATATCGATATCGACTGCTATTAATGATGATGAAATGCAAAGAATCTTACTTTGTAGGTGTGCAATACGTTTCCTGGAATTCGAGGTAGCGAGTCATTTTATCCCATTTTTCGTTATAATAGTCAGATGAAGGTCGTAGACCAAAATTATGTGCAGAAAAATTTAACTTTTCTGGAGCTGCATAAAAACGTTCCGAACAGTACATGAAAGTTACGATGCCATAATATGCTGTTCGTGGCATTCCAGACTGCAAAGTTCTTAACATTTACAAGGAAAAACTAACAAAACTTGCAACTATCTTCCCTGTCATGTCAGAACTTGGAAGCAAACATCTGATTCGCTTTAATTTATTTTTTACTTACGAAAATAGAGACTCACCCTGATATCAAGCATTAATCCAACAGATTTCCCGAAGCGCCGGTAATCCCTAGGCGTTTTATATGTTATAAAGAAAGGCCCGGATCCAGAAAAAGTCCTATCCAAAAATTCATCTACTGATATCATAACAGCACGTGAGATTTCTTGATTTAACAAACTAAAAAATATGCTCATGTAACTCGAACTTCATGCTATAAGCATCTTGCGAATAATCTTCGACCTGCAGCGAAAATTTATTTGAAAAACAGAGGGAATTGAATATTTAAGAGTTGGAGAAGTAGAAATAAGCATGAACCTGTCATAGTTACTTTTGATTAAATAGCTTAAATCCAGTTTCGAAAAATCAACTGCTATTTCAGGTAAACGAATAGAGGCCAGATATTTCTTGTATAATCCACTGTAAACAGTTTTCTGTTAAGCACGAACAGCAAAAAAATTGCGAAAAAAAGGGATAGAATTTTCCCATCACTACTTACCCACTTGAACCTTTTCCTGCCAAATCATTATTATGAGAAGTTCTTGAAACTTCTGGTCGGATGCAAACTCTTTCTTTGCGTACATTTTGACGTCTCATCCAATCATCCCAATATATTTCAGGCCAGCTGGTTGATAATTCATCCCATAACTCTGCTCTAAGCATCCATCCTGAAAGAAGAAAATCTATAGATATGGTAAGATCTTATAAAAGATTTGAGAACAAAAAGATTTAGGCAAAGTCATTGAAAAAGAACAGTGCGTGAAGATTCAATTGGCGTTTCCATGCAAGTTGGTTGATTAATGAAGTTTTGCTTTATTATTACTAGTTGTTCAATTAACTGCCTTAGTTGCCATTGGTACAAGTAGAAAAAGTTCCCAAACATTTTGGAACATATAACATGGAATGTTGAGATAAATAAGGTCGTTCATTCGAAACTACACTAATGGCCAACAATGGAAGCTGATAGCTTCTGCAAAACTGTACTGAAAAGTTTGAATTTTATAAAAAGCTGGAATCAATAAGAAATACCTAGTCCTGGAAAAAAATCTGTCCTGTAAAGTCTCTCCCCATGTTTACGATCAGTGATGTTAGCACCCCCATTATCATTCCATGCACTGATGCACCAAACTGTTTTATCAGTAAGCAATACAGGTTTTGAAGCCGCAAAATACGAAAAAAAATCATCCGCTAGGTCCAGATCATCTGGAAAGATTATTTATGTTAGAATAAAACATGCGCTTAAAAATGTATGCCATAATCAATTTCATGATATAGCCTTATAATAATTGAAAAAAAAGCTTTGGAATTACAAAGATGAAAAAAGTTATTGAGATACAACTATATGAAAGCATAATCTTTTAGGTGTCGTTATATGACTGGTTTGGATTGGTTATGGCGAAGCTTCATCAGCAAAAGACAAAAACATAACAATTGTGAAGCTGTGAACATGGTAACCTTCAGTGATAATCGCTATCTCATACTTCATTTCAAAAAATATTTTGTCAAGAGCCCACTTGTAATGATGTGCAATGTGAAAATAATTTTTGGAACCAGAATCCAAATCCCCAGGAGGTTCTGCTTGTTCTTTGTGCTGGAACAAAAAATGTTCAGAAGTACAGTCAACTAATCTCTAAGAAATAGCTACTATCTCACTATTCAATGCAACAAGTCTATTGTTCAACCTCGTTTCGTCAATGCTACTCACATTATATGCCTTTATTTGCTTAAATTCAAATTACAATTACTTGTGGAAAAAGTAGATTTTCAGAAAAGTAAATGAACTCATTTCGAAAGTTTGCTGCCTGTATCTAGTTCAAAAGCATAAACTTACATGAATAAAACCAATTTTTTTTTCCTCACTAGTAAAAGATGAAATAGTTTCCGTTACCGCCTGATCAGTTCCGTCTTGACTGATAACAATAGGAAACTGAGCGGCAGAAGGTCGCAATCTATAAAAAGAGAGAAGAAAATGATTTTTCTTTCTTCTTCGAATACATATTTCATCACTGGTCAAATGTATCAACCAAACAATTATGAATAGATGGTTCATATTACTTGCAAATAAATGTAAGAGAAACTTGTTCCATCCAGAAAACTTCCCCTGATTCATAAAAATAATTGTTGGAAACTGTATTGGTTTCAGGCCAAAACAAAATTATTACAGCAAAATCAGATAAAAATAAACCAGTAATACAGCATTAAGTGAATCAGGAGAAATATTTCAAACAGATGATGAGTCACTGAAACTCAGAATGCAGGTTACTATTTCGATTCAGTCAGATATTAACAGAAAGACGAACTTTATCAATTGATCTAAATGATTTCTGATAGCACGTTCTCTTTTCGCTGCCATAACCAAAACTACAGCCACAGGTTCTCCAATGTTGTCAATAACTGATTGAGCTACATTTTTATCGGACAACAAATTCTGAATCATTTCAATTAAAAAAAAGAGGACGAAATAGGCCTTTCTATTTTGGAATTTTGGAAGAAATAATTGACTGGAATCATAATGCAATGTATAGGAGAAATTTGTATTCAAGCCTTAGAAATATTTTATGACTATCTTCAAGTTCATGTTCATAAAAATTATTTAGACTTCAACTCCTATTGCCTTGTTTGGAGCGACAGGAAGTGAACTACTGAGTAGAATAGTAGTTACTTTGCTCTCCAAAATCCTACGATTATTCGCCCAAAAACATTAACTCGGGGAAAGATAACTAGAACATCAGCTGCACTTGACAGTAAGACGTGAACTCTTCTAAAAAAAATTTGAACAGATGCAAGACTACTAAATTTCAAGCAATAGTGATATTCGATACAATATGTAATACAGTGTTCTACCAGACCAAACGTCCCATTATGACAAAAGATGCGTTTTTTCTCGTAAAATTAAAATCAATATACAAACCTGTGGCCTTTTATTCGAAGAACTGAATGATATGCCCTGTCGGAGGAGGAGAAAAACTGACATGATAGAAAACGCGATAAAACATCGACGTCGCATATAACAGCCTCAAACAAAATAGAAACTTATGAGAAAATTAAATGAAATTTTACTAGACGAAGAACGATGAAAGTATAAATTGTTTCAACTGTCTCTTCTTTTTTCTTTTCGCAGCTACACCACATCAGGTATGCATCAGGTATGTAAGTATGCAAGGACAGGGCACTCTCCACGAATAAATGATCTTCCCAAACTTTGCAAGAACCTTTAAACACTATCATAAAACAGACTTATTCGAACACCACAGAAATTGTTTGGTCATTGCCATCCAAATCTTGAGCTTAAATGGAATCTTGGAATAGCGGCTAAGGAATGAAATTTCCAGGAAAACAAATAATATTTAGAATACTTATATGATGTCGAGGCTTGAATCATATGAGCAGATAAATAAATAAATCTAACTAAGGAATCGGCTCAACTTGACCACAACCACGCACTTCGTCTTCCGCCTTCCTACCGCATCGTTTATCGGTACTGATAGCATGACTGACGTCGCGAGTTGCTTCCGATCACTTCTCCCCTCTTACTGCATAATTACATGAGTTTATCTGTCTTTCTTCTCTGTTCGGTAGTCTGTGTTAAAAAAGACATTAGATAATTTATAAGGTCACTTAATCCCTTTCTCATCCCTTTCTCACCAATCAACGGCACGGAAGCGAGGGAGAGGAATGAAGTCTGCAATCAGGAGAAACTGTTGCATGTGATTATCATCATATTAGCAATCGTAAAGCAAATTTATATCCAACATAAACAGACATACTTTAACACGGAAATATCGATAAAAGTATTAAGTGGGACGGCGAAGGCAACAGCGGATCGGCCATTATTCCGACTCTCTGATCGCAACGGAATGGAATCGCAACGGAATGGAAAAATAAAAGTTTGTAAGTTCAAATAAAACAGTTTCGAGAAATTATAATTAACCGTAAAAAGAGGAAATTTCCATGACAGTACTTGACCTACAGTTGAGAGTTTGTCAGTGAGAAATGAAGCGCATTCTTCAATATTTATCGCAGGACGATTCACCATTATTTCGTTTCGTTTCCGTTCAACAAATCACACTCAAAGAGAAGAGTCAGAGGCATCAAGCTGTCAAGCGCTATCCGTCCCGTGATGTCGATTTGTGGAAAAACAGGGTAAGCAGTCATTTTTTTTGGCTACAGATGGTGACATTCCACATAACTCTCTCTTTCCCTACCTGTCATTCCGATGGAAGGTATCTTCACGAACTCTCATAAATCCAAGACCCCATTAATCAGTGATGATATTACTGACCTACCGAAAACAAAAATCCAAAATCGCATTCTTATAGCTGGTCGGACCGTAAAATCGGCAAAGTGTAACTTACGCCTTATCGATGGAAGGGAGAGTCAGAAGAATGATAAGGTTGGCCTAGTTGGTTGTTAGGATTCTTCGGATATTCTGGAAAGTTTTCTAGCTATAACAGAAAGTTTGTAAACGGTAATAATGACCACCGTATGTTATTCTCATTTTCCTGTAAACTAACTCCATTCCCCTGTAAATTACTCCTCACTATCAGTCGAGCTATTCGTTGCAGTCGATTTTAAAATCAAATTAGGCTTTATCATCATTATTCGTTTTCGTAGTCTCATATGTGCATGTGTAAATGGAAGACTTCGGATATCCTCAGTTTCTGTTAGTAAAGGTGAAGGTAACGAGGTGTATCACCAAGTCAGTACTTATCGTAAATCTCGAAGTGAGATGCCTAGAACGTATTGAAAATCAAAAAGATAATAGACGACGTCTGTGATCCATCTGACAGTAACATATTTCATCCGTATAATGTGAGATTAGCCTTAGCTAACATTCGAGTTTATTTCCGTTGAAGCAATCAGTTACAAAGCTGTGCGAATAGAGAGCAGCCAGTGATGATGCTATGGACTGTATCCACAGAAGGAAAGACAATTAGCATCAAATTGAGAAGAGACTTTGGAGTGATAGCAATGATTTGTTACGTTTGTCGAGAGAGGGATAGAAATTTTTCAGTATTAATCGTCCGATGTGTCTGCTTTTTTTTGGACAGGATAAAAGACTGAATGGGAAAGGATAGCTCCTTCATGTCTTAAACGGCGCCAAAAAACTATCATTTAATAGTTTTATGCAAATCACTTTCCTTCTTCAGCTAACTCAAAATGGATTATGCTTGAATGTGATAGTATTTACTAATTCGGTAATATGCAGTTTTTTTCATACTCATCACATTTCAGTAAGTAACGGGGATTGAACCTACGTTGTTCTCCAGTAGTTGATGGTGTATTTTAATGCTTGACTGCGTGCAGTACCTTTGGATTTTATTTTCTGTGAAAACATTGAGGAGGGTGAGATATGTTTTATTTGCATTTGCTACTGGAAATGCCTAAAGAAAGTTGGCACAGTGTTTACCGTTATGCCTTTACAAAACTTTGCTTTCCGTCCCTTCGGTGTTTCTCGATGGTTCGAGATACTTCTCCCAATCATACGGATACTCCAATACATTGTTGTTTCGTAATGCATCGCGCAATAAGTCTGTTATCTTACTGTATTCTGGTTTTGAATAATATCTTAAAATTACAACAATTATTACATAGAAAAAGTATAAACATATAGGAAATCATGATTATTTATGCGAAACATTGCTGTAGTGTGTTACCATACAGTACATCTGCGGAAGACAGGTGTAACCTAATGGAATCGATAAGTCTCATAATTGTAATATATTCTCTTGGACAGCCACCAAACAATTCTTTGATGTATTCATCCTTGCGACAGAGTTGCTTACATCGACCCACTTCATCCTTGTCTTGCATATTTTTCCACGGCAAATAACCGACCGTTAGTTCCACCAGAAAATTATCATAACAGTGATGGAGAATAAGAAAGCAGGATTTGAAGTAATGAACATCATATCTATTATTAAGTCAATTGGAAAAGGATCTGAAATACTCTGAACGAATGAACTACACCACACGGCTTTCTGCTAGTAAGGCTTCTGCTAAAAATATTCTCATATGGAGAGAAACATATCGATAGCAGGTAACTATGTCACTTTTTACCTATGAATGACATACTGATTTTGTAACTGTGAGCCCAGTCGTTATCATTTTAGTTTAAAATTTTGCTAATTTTAGCGATAAAAGAGAGACTACAAACTTGCTGATACATCCAGCTTTCCAGATCATCCTTCCGACACTGCTCACGTGATATATGACTGCTTATTGATGCATATCTGCAAAAAAATAGTTTCAATTTAAATTTAAATTAGCTGAAATTAGCTACAGCATTTCCAATAAGTTTGAAGAGCGTTAGTCATTATGACGCTGTCATTAACTTAATCACGAGCTAAATTTGTGAATAAACCAATCGAGAAAACACCCTTTCGAGTTTTTCCAATTCTTAAAAGAGTTTCCTTTAAATTTAGCAGCTTGATTAAATCCGGAAATGATTTCACCCTACCTGACAGTGCCACGGAAACCAGCAGATCTTCGTGGATTACGTATGTATGATTGATTGTTAAGATATTTACGACACATACCAAAATCGAGTAAATAAATCTGTCGCACGTTTTTACGACCAATTGCGAAGTTACCGGGTTTGATATCACGATGCAAATATCTTAATGTAAAATAATTTTTGTATCTTCTAGTACACTTTTTGTAAAAACAAAAAGGTCTAAACGTTTGGAAGTCTTAAAATCTATGACAGCAGTAATTTACCCAATATTGTGAAGTTCTTCAATTGCTTCCAAACATTTCATACCTACTGAAAGTGCACAACCCATGGTGAACTTCTGTATTTTCTGCGCTGGATCATGTTTCCTCAGATCCTACAATTTTAATTCCAAAAATGATTAAGATTCGAACCTGTGCTCTTTTCAGTTTTGTTGAAATTTTCTTATTACATGTTCAAGCAATTTTTTGGGTAGGATTTAATGAGTTAAATGAAAGCACCATAACAGCTACCGTGAGAGACTGCCCAACCAGTGTCATTACTACATATTTATTCTCGCCAACCAAACCGCTATCCAAAATATCACAGAAATGTGTCGCTTTTGCTTTCTTTAATTCTGTCAAAACATAGTATTCTGCTTTCAACACCTGTATGCACGGTCTGAATACCACTTTGGTTATAATTTCCTATTAAGAATGGTGGTCGAATTTGGCAATAATATATAACCTGTATTTCTTGTATATTTAACTCTCTGTTAGCAGCGCTAATTACCGGACTGCTTAGAAAAAAATCAGACTCCTTGAAATTCATTGCTTTCATTGCTTTGCAAAAAATTATTTTAAAGCATTAATTATGTAAGCATAACATAATGCACGTTTACTTTAGCAGTCGCATTGATACTTTCAGTTTTCATGGCATACTCGTTTCCTTTGTTATCCTTTACCTGTAGTTTCTTGAGTAATTACCATTCAAATTTATTGGTGGTACTGCATGGGATTCGGAGATCTCTGTGATTGTATAATTACTTGTATAGTTATTCCCATAGTTGTTTATCACTTACGGATAAATATATGAGCCAGTTATCATCATAAATATTATAATTTACCAGGTAAACGGCGCCAAATCCACCTTCGCCGATTTTGTCCAAAACAGTCCAATCACCAAGCACATCTCCGGGATGTAAATAAATTATTTTCTTTACATCTGAACATACTTTACATTTAGAAAATTTGGTATTGAGATTGTACTTATTTCCAGCGGTTTAATTCACGGTTCCAATAACCGCGTATACTTCCTACCCAACCTATAGAAAAAAAGTACATGATATCGAAAAAAAAAGTACATGATACATGATATCAGCAGAACTCAGTCAGACCTTCTTCTGGATTAAGATTAACCTCGACCATCGTGCACTCCTGAGAGCACCGATGATTAGTCACTCCGTAAAATTATAGCTGTATAAAACAACCTCTACTAAGAACTCTGTAGAATATATAGCATCAAAATTTGACGAATTTTCATAAACAAGCCTCCCCATTTGCATGTAATATTCATCCATCCATTTGGTAAGTTTGAATCTGAGATTCGATATGTTGAATTCCGAATTTTTCTCCTTTAAATTTTTTCCGAACACCAAGCAGACATTTTCGCACGCTACCTAATATTTCAATAGCTGTGACGGTCTCTACTATGTGAACCGTAAACTATATAACATTTTATAGAGAACTTCGAGTTGAAATATGTAAATATTTGAGCAATTTACATATTTCAACTCAGAATTCCTTATAAAACGAGGAATTCTGAGTTGAAATATGTAAAATATATAACCTATGGAAGGGCTTAAGCCGCTAGCAGTACAAGTGTTCGTGTTCTGCTTCCATCACTTATCACCGAATCAAAGTACTTAAAAGCAAGCTCAGCTTGTCCAGACTTCACAGCAAAGTACTCGTCAATTCTTCTACTTTTTGAACCTACAAATAAAATGCAAGTAAGAGATACAAATAAGAAATCCTAAAAATCCTAAATCATTATCATCAAGTAACCTTACACTGCATTTGCCAATAGTTTAAATGCTGATCTTTTGAAGTGCTAACAATGATTTAGGAAGTCGCAACTTTTTTCTCTGAGGTGAGGAAATTAAATATGTCACAGTAGACTAAAATCACCTAGTAGATCTATAATAATTTATACTCACAAAGTTACTGTACTGATAGCAATCTTTTATCAAATATAAAATCAAAAAACTCATCTACGTTTTACTCAAAAGAGAGGTTAATTGATCTTTATATCTTACTGTAACATGGTAAAACGTGGCGATAAGAACCTATAAAGAAGCAAAGAGGGGAAACTGCCTCTTCTTCATAAAGCTTAACATCGATAAAAAAGAAAAAAAAGACCAGAAACTAAAGCGAAGAAATTTCTTAAACAGATTTCAAAGTTGACTATTTTATTCCTTCAAGAAACTCCAGACAGGCTAACGATCTCAGCAAACCTGAAGGCTGCTGTAGTATAACACTGAATATTTTTTTGTACTGACATTAAATTTCAAGTATAAATGCACGAATAGCAAATATTTTCAGAAAAATAGTTTTCCCAGAACAAATAATGCCATTTGCGAAGTTATGTAGAACTAATATTACTCGTTTCATTTGCTTTAATAGCTCATGAACCTGACGAAAACGATATGTCAGCTGCATTTCTCCTTTTCAAGCTTTCCAAAGCCTCCACAATCTTTTCGTTGGCTTTTGCAACCAATTCCTGCAGACTTTCTGAAGATGGGTGGTCCATCGGAATGTATAGTAACTAAAATATAAAGAAAAAATTAAATATGAAATATAACCATGCAAATTGCCTCAAGCAAACAATTCGTAGGAATTAAAGCTCAGCAAATCTTAACCTAGCTTCATGTATAACATTTGAAAAATAACGAAACTCAACGAAATTCAATGATTACAATCATACAAGACAAGTGGTGGGTGGTGTCGTGCATACAGCAGAAGATGCAGTCCAATGCGGGAGAAACGTCACAGAAAGCAACCACCACTAATGAAATTCAAAAGAATTATACAAACATAAAAAGTAAATTTACTTCAGGTCCACCGCCATATATTGACTGGAAAAATAACCAAGCTTCACGAGGTAACTGGACATAGTGCGAAGCCCGTAAATATGGTTTTGTGTCACACTTATTACTACAAACCAGTACGATGTTGTTGTCAATAGATCCCGGTGGTTCTGGAATCTGATCAAAACATTAAGATTCGGAATGAAAACTTCTAGAAATTCAATACCAACAACTTTGACGATATAGAAACCTTCGGTCAGAAGTGAAAAATGATGGTAGTAGTGCAAAGTAGAGCACTTTAACTGATCTTACTGCATTTCTAAAAATTTTGAGATAAGCTCAGAGAGATTTCCACAAGTGTCGTTCGAACGCAGCGTACAAAATTGATTTACAGAGCTGCAATTCAATCCAACTTGTAGCAGCTGCGGTATAACCACTGGAAGTTTGATTATTATGCGGTTCTTTTACCTTAATATCGAAATAGAATTTTAAATGTAATGTTTCGAAGCCTAAAATTAACCAAATTCATTTCCTTCAACAAATGCCTTCCATTTGTCAATCCAAGCTTTCGCGATAACATTCGGTGGCATGTAATAACCATAAGTGAGCACTGGGATATCATTTTTTAATCGTTCCAGTTGTCCTTCCAATGTTAAGAATGCCTTAAGCTCAATTTCACGTTTATGTTTCGTTATTTGAAACTCATTTTGGCAGATTAAGCAATAGTGCAACTCGGAACTTGCAGGTCCACCACCAAATCTAAACTTTAAACATTACAATTGAAATACAAAATTGATTAGCATCAATAACAATTAAATAGTACGATAAAGCGTGAGAATACCATTACCTCAATAGCGTTATTTCTAATGAGACCTGGAATTATGCCGCAGAATCAAAGATTCCTACATATTATGCGATGCACTTGATAACACTGAATAGGAAAGTGATGCATGAACATCTTAATTCATTTAAATGATAATTGACATCATTAATAGGACTTTAGACAATGCTCTTAAACTTACTTTTCATAAAGAAAATCCCATAGTGAACTGCTGATCGTTGCATAGAAATCAGTAAGACATGCTGCTCTACGTGGGAGGATTTGTGAGTGTTGACACAGGAAATCATAATTTGTTATAGGCCCAGGACGTGAAAACGTTGAAAAACGATGCAACCATTCTCGAGAAATATAGTGATGCAACGGGACCTTCACACGAAAAGAAGTAATGTTTGGGCTGTGAAAATAAAGTCAAGAGCAAATTAAAAAGTTTGCTATTTATAAAAAAAGCAAGATTTGGTAATCTTGCTTTGAATTTCGAAATGTTTTCAAATTCGATTAATTTTAATCATGTGAATCATAAAGTGAGAGGATCAGTAAGACATGCTGCTAGTCTTAATAGTCTTGAATATAACTTAATGATAACTTAGAAGAAAAAAGAAGCACCAATTGTTGCAATCCAACCTTTGTTTTATCGTTCTCCTCAAGCATCTGTCTCACACGAATCCTAATATCGTCCATACTCTGCGTTGACTGCCTTTGATAAAATAATACATAGGCTTCTTTACTCAGGATATCAGCGATTTCCAACCGAGTTACCATGGTGTCATCAAATTCGTACCAATTATCATCCATTTCGTTCTTGCAATAAGCAACATAATGCCCACCTTCAAATAAAATGGACTTTGTTTAGTAATTAAATACAAGATTACACAGAGAGTATGAAGTACTCTTTCCACTCAACACAATCCTAAGAGTTCGGTTTCCAAAATTTTTCAGACTAAGTGACCTCAACAAAGAAGCCAGAGCAATACTAGTCAAATGCTAGGAAAGAATACTTCTTAAAGTAATTATTTCACTAATGACTTACTCTCCGCATTTGCACCATAATGTGTGATGAATGCAACTAAATCGTAGAGCACTGGTTCCTTGTTTTTTTCGAAACTGGCGATAAATGGTGTTAAATCCAGATCATGTACTGGAAATGTCACCTTATTCCGTATCTATAAAATTTTTTCTTTTGGAAAACTTATAAAATATGCTACATAAGAGGAGTTACAATTAAAAAATTAAAAGAACAAAGGAAAACGAACTTTGACCGAATATGATAGTTCGTGCCGAAACCTTTTCAAATGTATGCACAAAATCTCTGGTGGATCGATGATTTTGCAAATTTTGACACCGTTCCGCAATCTGAAATCGTCAAGACTCAATCTTACAACGATACAACCTTAAGCAAACTAGTAACTCATCTATTTTGAGGTCACCAAACAACTAAATTTATTGTTAATTATAAGGTAGTTTTCTTCCTCCTGGTTACGCCGAACATGGTCATATATAACACATCAAACAGATCTTATAGCTGAACCCTGGAAAATTATTTCATCAAAAAATTTGTACTTGGCACATTTTTCGCAAGAATACATATTTTCTCCGCAAAGATCATCCGGCAAAAAGAAAGCCGCAAGCGCATCATTTAAAGAAACTAAATCCCCAAACAGATAATGGTATACTGAACGAAACAAGCTTCCTCCAAGCCACGATGGCCACTGCCAAAAACTGTTTCCACTGCTATCAACTTCTTCCTGTAAATTACTTATAGAGACAGATAAAAAAAAAAGAGAACATCAGCAGGATATAGTAGCGAACCCGATATATCAGCAAAGTACAATGTACTTCCACGAAGACATACTTGCTCTTTATTGTTTTTCTTGTTCTCACTGTTCAGATTCATTGAGTATGATGCAATGTGACCAAGTTGTTCTCTTGTTGGAATGCTCAACGATAAGTCCTTCAACGGCCATTTTATGACGAATAAAAACGCAAGCAAAAAGGAAAATGTTCAAACAGAAGCTTAATTCGAGTTTCAAAAGCTGTAAAAATCTCTAATCCTAAACCATGCAGCTTTAGAATTAAGCTAACCTGGAAAGTTTCATAAGTTTCTGAAAGATGATGACATGTAAGACATTTCACAACACTACTTAAACGCCCATCAAAGACCTCCGTTACCAAACTTCGGTAATAAATAGGAGACCTAGATTGCTTGTTTCCTGAAAGCTATTCAAATTTGCATCAAGACTTATATAAAGCAAGAGCAACCAAAAGAGCTTACCAGTTCAAGATTCCCAAAGTTGCAGAGAAAAATTCATTGTTAAATTAAATTCCATGTACACAATATAACTAGCAAAAATCCCGTAAGCAGTAGAATTACTATAACGTAAAAAGCAATAAAATTTCAATACGCTGATCCGTTTCTTCTGATTCTTGCTGATTCACGGAATGATCTGGAATATGTGTCCGTCGATCGCTGCTTATAGGTCCTGCATGCTTACTTGCTTTCGAAGCTGCGGCTACTTCCTGGAATAATCGAATACTAGGAGAAATTTCATCCGAAAGATCTTGGAGAAATGAAAAGTACAAATTCTAGAAATATAACAAAAATATAGAAATATAAAGGAAAATAAAAATAAACGAAAAATATAAAAATATAAATGCTACATAAAATAAATGGAAAATACAAACGCTAGAAAATATAGATAACATAAAAATATAAACAAATATTTTCGTCGTTAAGTTCACTCACTCCATCGGAGCTCCAGCCACTATCCGCAGTTTCATAGCGTTCATCATCATCGGACGCGCTACTACTGGAACGTGACGGAACATATCTGCTTCGTATGAAACCAGAGATGCTTTCTTCTTCCGTCTGTGTATTACAGGTATGTGTAATATTCCGATATTCCCACTAGAAAGAACGAATTATTGTGAATAATGGAAAATAAGAAAAATTGGACAGATACAAAAGTAACGGAAAACAGACTTTAACTTACAGCAAAAACAGGTTGACGTAATTCACGATGCAAAACATCTAGGAGGCATCTGATAAATTCCTGAGCATCCTGCTGTGCCAGACCACGAAACTGTGGGTACTGGTGGCGAACTTGCTGAAAAAAAAATTGAAACTATTATCTCCAAAAGTCATGTATTTACATAAATCTCAGAAATTTTTCATTTCAAAGCAGAACATACAGCAAGAAAAAGTTGTGGATTAATGCATCGACTTCGTTCCTCAGACCAAAGTGAACGCAACAGACAACGAAATGAACGTGAAACGGGTGGTTCTCCATTATTATCTAATATCTTTGAAGCAAAGGAAGCAACGGAATCAACTGAACGGAAGAAGTCGGAAAAAGGAGGACAATTTGAGAGCGCCTGAATGGCTGCATTCATATAACAAGTGTTGCCCAAATTTGTTAGTCCTGTCAAACCTGCAAGTTTTTCAAATTAGCACACAGACATTCATGTTATTGTAATGGTATCAATTCCCTATCATACGTTCGTTCATAAACTACTTTCTTAATTTTTTACAAATTAATAAATCCCGATTTTTCAATCATTACAAATCAATAAATTTTGATTTTGTTCGAAATAAAGAGAGATTTTCGCTACAGAGCTGTGACCATTAAATTACGCAAGCTAAATAACAATAACAACATACCACGAGGATAAATTTGACTTTCGTCTACTCCAATATCCATTATTGCCGGCTGCCAAACATCACTGTGAGAATTGAATCCTCGTCCAGTTACTGCGTTTATTGGCCGAAACTGTTGGAATCAAAAACTATGTTTTGGAAAATGAGCAAAGAAAACTAGCAAAAAATAATCATCACTCTAGATAGCGACGATGTAAAAATGACTAAGATAATTCAGGCATCAATGCTATGGAGTCCATGTTATCAAGATAATAGAGTCGTAACAGATATAACATTTTATTTGGCACAGCTAACCTTTACAGAACTCAACAGTCCCTAATTCATCAAGTCCCATGAGAACAACTCAAAATTTTTCAACTTAAGGAGTCTTCCGACTGAAACAAAAACAATACTCGAATATGAGTTTTTCTTGTGTCGGAACTTTGACTGGCGATAAAAGGCACTGCAGAAATAACTGACTCACTGCTAATACCGACAAGCGCACTTGGATCTTCTTCATTTTCAGTTATTGAGCACTGCAACTTTGTTACCACGTATAAGAAAAGCTGTGGAAGGATATGCCTTTTAAAATGGTAAATGGCATTATTTTACATCAAAATCTTATTTATTAGCAGATTTATGCAGCTATTTAGGCCAGAAACTCCTTTGGATAAAGTGGAATTTATAATTTATTGATTCATTCCAATTTATTGATTCATTTCCATTTCCATAAAAAACAACGGCTATCAGATTTGCTACGTTTAAGTGATAAAATTAAGATAAAAAAACTCATTAGTCTCTCCAACTACTACCTGTCCAAGCAAGGAAGAAAAAAATCCCAAGGAATAAGTTATCCCAAAGAATAAATGGGATGAGTTATCCTAAATAGATGAACTCTACTGGATGAAGAATTTGATGACTTGCAATAATATTGAGATGCCTTTTATTTGAGCAGATGCGTTTTATTTGAGCAGTAAGGATTAATTAACAGTCCTAAAACAGCTTTTTCTCGATTACTATCGTCGCCAAGTCAACAAACCCTCTCAGTTTTTGGCTGTCAGACTCATATGTTTAAACCGACGACGACGCTTACCATATTTTGTTGTAATTTCGAAATTATATAGTGTGGGACGTCTGCTCCGCCAGTTCTGCAACGTGAAGGAGTCACCACTGACAAGCTTTGTACTCTTTTCCTTGTTTCATATTTTCTCGCATTTTTCTTCAATCTTTTTCTCGCCATTACATCTAATAATAGCTACAGTTCCTCCCGTCATATACATGCAACAAAATATTTATAAAAAAAAAAGACAGTATCACAGTAGTAAGCACAATAACATACATTCAATTCCAAACGTACCCCTTTGTTAAATTTAAACTCATTTGAACAGTTAGCAAATATATAACATTGGAAAACTTGGAGGAACTGTACCTGTACCTGTATAAAATATGAAGTATAAGCTAGTCTTCGACGTGTAACTTTGCATGAATTGAGCAGAAGAAATAAGCAAATGAAGAAAAGGAAAATAATTAACTCAAACTTATTTTAGACATGTCTAGAAAATACTATGTTATATTCTATTTAACAATTATCACTACTGTCTCTCAATTTCAGGTCATAAAAGGACTTATTTATAACAAATAAGCCTCCCACCTCCGTTGCGAGGACCAAAACTCCTAATCTCAGTACGGCGATGTCAGCGCGATATTCAGCTTCAACAGTTGATATTTCCAAACGTGCAGTTCGGCGCGCATATTTGAATTCTTGGCCAAATAAATGTTTGTTGGTTGCTGGCAGATTTTGTTGTTTAGCTGGCCTAAAGCTGAATTTCTACTAGCCATACTTACAGTTCAGTTTTTACAGCTTAAATTTATTGGGACTTCATCGCTACCATTAGGTGAAAATGAAAATTCGAAGATTGGACAGCAAAGTTTTATGCTCGTTACAACGTGAGATGTTCTATCATATTATACTTATCTCAGTGCGGAAAGTTTTTTTCACTTCCCTACCAATCATTGCAATACCGAAAAATTTGGACTCCTTAGGATTAGGAAGCTTAAGAAACACATAATTCATACCTTATATATTGAAACGAAAAAACCCATAAGGTTAGAGTGAAGGTCGAAAAGATGGAAATGTTACACGAATCGAGGAAGAGTTATTAATATGTTAGGTATAGATCGACTCCAGTATTCTTTGTCACAAAAAAAGAGATGACAGTAAGGAAAAGTTTTTGAACGCTTTTTTTCACTATTTCTCACAGTCTGCTTGTCTTACCTGTTTTGCCCTGTTTTCGGTCTTTCGTCATATATTTTACTCGCTCTTAAAGCAATTTATTCACTCCAGAACTGACATCTGAGACTTCCGAATTCCTTCCTGACGATTTCATTTGAATGGAAGAAAAACGTAAACTGTTTGAAACACTCGACGATGTAAGCAGCATCTTCTTGGAGGTGAATGATGAATGGGCCACTGCATGGTAATCATTTTTTCCACGTAAAGTGAATCTGAATAGTTGATGAAATATGCTATGTCCGGATACTTATCCAGAACTATCCTATATCTGTTCATGTAAGAAAAATGATGCAAACAAAAGCCCTAAGGTCTCTTTTTCAGTCTTGTCTTTTTTTGCCTTAGGAAAGGAATATTGCTATGTTACAGGAAGAGGTGAATACTTAAAGCTGTTAACGAAGTTCTTTTAAGGAGAATCTGGATAATGTTCATCCTTATATATAACACAGCATACTATTCACTTTTTCAGCTTCGAAGATAATTTTTCGGACTTCGGCAGCTTTGTACATGTGATACGATTCTCAGTCCTTCAAGCTTTCGATTACTTGCAGCGGCTTTCAGAATGTGAGCAATGAAATGAGTTCGGGTCAATAAAAGGATACTTTCTGGAATGAATGGCAAACTTTCTCTCGTAATTTGAACTTTTTTAGTATGCTCCCGATTATTATTGTATGCTGAAAAAGCAAATTCATCTACCGAAATATGGCATGAAATGAATGAAAGAAATTTTGATGCAAAGAAATTATGCGTTTTTGCGTGGTATTTGATTGAACGTGGACAACAACCTGATGTGTAAGCACTTATTTCTAATATTTTCGTAGCTATATGTTCTGCCTTCTTGCAGTATAAGGGGAAAGATTTGTTAGGAACTGGGTAGATCAATCACTTAGAGGTTCGTTATAATTGGATTTAATTTATTGTAGAAATGCTCCGTTTGGTGTTGATATTTCGAGTACTAGTTGTTTTTAAATTTGATTATTCTAAGGATATTTACAATTAGGTTAGATATCCAGTTAGTAATTTGTTCTCGAGATGATAAACTAATCATTTCATGTCCCTTGTTCTATTATATCCACAGAAGTAATCTGAATTGTAGTTATTTTAATCTGAATTTTAGTTATTTTAATCTGGACTTTAGTTATTTTATTTCATCATAAAGATGATATGTAATGAAACTGCTTGGTTTATCCGTTGAAACACATTTTGTTCATTGAAAGCAATTGGTTTTAGTGCTCTTGATGATCAGAAAGTCGGACTAATTGGTTCTCGAATCTATATCTCACTGTGCTGTTTAAGTGGAGCGCAGGCTTTCAATATCTTCAATGATTGTCTTTTCCAAGTGACTTTTTTTCACTTTATTTTTATTGAATTAGCTTTAATTTCATATTATGCAAGTAGAAATTTCTAATTTTTGCTGCTTACAGAGGACTTTGGACCAATTACGATTAATTCGCAGGTTACTTAGTAATGGTCACCTTTTGACAACCAACGATCGCGTAGAAATAATTCGAAACACCAAAAGTAAAAATAAGAAACCATTTGTTGCAAACAACTCAAGAATAAAGCATGCAGGTCTCTCATTTCATATTAAAAAAAGTGTCATTTTTCCAAATATATAGTTGTTTCGATATACTCTATATGGAGGTGTAGAGACTATTAGCAGATAATTGCTAAATAGCATGTGAATGTTATTCGTAAATCAATGCCATCTACGAGACTGGCATATTTTTACATTTTCTGTTTGCCAAACTTGCTAATTAAGATTCGAACTTGCCACAATAATATTGTGTCTTGCAGATTTCGTTCAGTTTACTATGGAGGACAGAACAGAACTAAGATATATGCTATGTGACGTTCTAGATTCATTATTTATCTTCTTAAACAGAGGTTGGCGCTATTGTCAATTTCTGTTTTTCATGTTGACACTGATAATTTGATTACCTTAATTTTTCATTTTTTTCCAATATTTCAGGCTTGCTTTCATCAGCTCAGCAATGTTTAACGTCGCTGACTATTTTTTTACAACAACTTATGCAATTAGACTTTTCCGAAAAAACATCTTTTTTGGAATGTAAACTGCTGTCAGATTTCCAGGTTTGTTATCCTTAAAGCTTGATAATTTTTTCACCCATTGAAAATCTTGTGATTTTCTGCAATTTCTGCAATTTAAACAGAAATTTAGCGATTCAAATATTGAAAGGTTTACCAAAAAGCATTTTCAGAGATTACGGGGATTTTCTGACCGGTCATTTGCTTTGATGCACCGCTTTCTAGATAATCAGCATGCTCTCTGCGGCGTTTTATACGGAAGAATTGTTATGCCACGACTATTACTCTGGACACTTGAAAATACCGTATTTCCCACGAATGCTCATCCACCGAAACTGATGAGTACTTACAAGGAAGCGATGCTTAGTTTCATTAAAATAAGAATAGGGGTAAGACAATCACTAAACATTATGGATTTTAATTTCATAGTTCACAAAGGTTTCAGATACATATTTTGATTTTACAATTTTGTCTAATACTTCGAAAATGCAGAAATATTTGTACTCATATTACGCTTTCGTTAAAAAAAAAATCAGTTCAATTATTCTAAATAAAAATTAACTGAAAGTGGTGTTTTAGAAAGATTCTGCAGAAGAGATATTCACTATTTTATTGATGCTTCAAAATGTGTGTTTTCGTTGTCCAGATCGGAGTGATTATCGTGCAAAGGTGGCAAGTTCCGTTGTTGAAGTCCTTGCCTACTTGCCTCCCAAATATATCCGAGTAATTCTTAATGAAATTAAAAAGGATAGTTTATGAATTTCAATTCTTATAAGTCATAAAACAAGTTGCCTTTTTCTATTTATAGGATTTTGCCGCTTTCCTACTGTTAACTGGCGCCAATTCCAAAGTTGCAGTCCGTGGTTTTGCTGTTGAAGTTGCGTTACCGTTTATGAAACAATATGGTGAATTTCCTGCACGTAATCCTGAAGTTTTTTGGAATAAGCTAAGCTTTATGTCTGACTCTATTATGAAAGAATGTTTTATCCTTAAAGCTCATTTGCTACAAAATTCCTGCTGTAAGAAATAACGCAGCAGGAATTAAATCTGGGAAAATGCGGTGTCTAATTTAGGAGATGGTTCCAGGTCATATCCTTGATGTTAGTTATAAGCAAGAGAATAGAACTTATGGTTGCGAACAAATGGATGAAAAGGTGATTTTTTAATTTTCCGTTTCTCCAGCTCTGACAAATTAGTTGTGCTATTTAGTTTTTTCTTTTTTTTCATTTTAGAACAACAAATCAAGAAATATACCATATCTTACTTCCTTGTTTGTTGCTTACAGAGCGTTTTCTGCTAAACCTGATTTGGTCGTTTTTGTAAACATCATATGTTCGGGCGAATTGCGTTTTTTGTCGTATAATAATTCCCAAAGTTTTTCTTAGGATGCATCCAGTGACGAAGAAATACTGATGGAAGTAGACGAACCTAGAAACGATGGTACTATTAAACTTTATTCCTTACACTTCCACAAAAGAAATTATTTTTTAATGTTCTTTGCATATTTCAGATAATGATAACAGACAACAAATTCGGAAGAAAGCAAAAAAAGAAAGCGATAAGGTTCGCATTTTTTAGGCCATCTTAAATACATAGGAAAATCAACTCATGTGCTTTCATGTTTATTGCCACGTAAATTGGCAAAACATTTCTCTGTAAGAGTTATTTTAAAATTATAGTACATGCATATCGTATATGATTATAAAACCTTTTAAAAATGTTTCTTCA